TTAGGGGCTCTGACCTCCTGTCCCTCTTCCAGTTGAAAATCTGGGTATAACTTTTGATTCCCCAAAACATAACTATAGTTGTCCCTCAGTATCCACAGGGGATTGCTTTCAGGACCCCCAGCAGATACAAATCTGCTGATGGAAAATACTGTTGTGATCGGCAGTTGGTTGAATCTGTGGAATACCCAGGGATATGGAGGGCCAACTATATATACATATTTTTTATCCTCACTCGAGGACATTTTTCGATATTTTGTTCAGATAGAGTGGGAGGGAGAGAAAGAGAGAGAGAAAAACATCGACATGAAAGGGACACGAGTGGTCGCCACCCACATGACACAACCAGGGCTGGGGACAAACTGCAACCGAAGTACGTGCCCTCAGCGGGAACTGAACCCAGGTCTCTCCAGATCACAGGCTGGCGCTCTAACCGCTGAGCCAAACCGGCCAGGGTAGGGCTAATTATATTTATTGACGAAAATTCACATGTAAGTGGACTTGTGCAGTTCAAACCTATGTTGTGTTGTTCAAGGATCAACTGTATATATAATAGAATTTATAATATATAAAGTATCTTGCACATATGGTGATAAAGGTTAGTTGTCATCTACCATCCTTTAGTGTTTTCTCTTTTGTACATATAACAGTATTTAGCAGGATATATTTACACAGCTGTTTAGCTGCAATATAAAACTAAGTTTTCAAACTTGCTGCTAGTCTTAAAATGGAACTGGTAGTAGGACAGAAGGGGAATAGATGTATTTTAGTGTCTATCATATGCTTTACATACAGTATTTAATCCTTATAGTACCTGCTTAAACAGACCATCTTCCCTTTGCAGATAAAGCTACTGAATCACTCAATCGTGCCTGAGGCAGTAAGTTTATAATGGACAGGGCTTTGATTTGGCTAAAACATTAATGCTCTTTCCCACACCACAGCATGTAAATTAAAAAAAAATTATATATATATATACACACACACACATACACATATATATGTATGTATTTATCTATATTGATCTTTAGGGAGTGAGGAAACGGGGGAGAGAGAGGGAGGGAGGGAGAGAGGGAGGGGGGAGGGAGGGGGGGGAGAGAGAGAGAGAGAGAGAGACCGAGACCTGAATGGGCTGCCTCTCATATGTACCTTGACCTGGGATAGGACTGCAATCTAGGTTTGTGCCCTGACCAGGAATTGAACCCACCACCTTTTGGTGCACAGGATGATGCTCCAACCAACGGAGCCACCTGGCCAGGGCAGCATGTAAATTTCTGTAAATATTCTCCCCTTTTCTATTTTAAGTGATGAAAGAAAAAACTTTCATTATCAATACATAATCACGCCCTGGCCGGTTTGGCTCAGTGGGTAGAGCGTCCGCCTGCGGTCCGGAGAGACCTGGGTTCGGTTCCCGCTAAGGGCATGTACCTCGGTTGCAGTTTGTCCCCGGCCCTGGTTGGTCGTGCGGGTGGCAGCCACTTGATGTGTCCCTTTCACATCGATGTTTCCCTCTCTCTCTCTTCCTCTCTCTCCCTCCCACTCTGTCTGTACAAAAAATGGAAAAATGTCCTCGGATGAGGATTAAAAAAAAAAAATACATAATCACATGATTGAGAAATAATACTTTGCCATTTTTTTCATCCTCATTCGAGGATACTTTTCCATTGATTATTAGACAAAGTGGAAGGAAGGTAGGAGCGGGGAGAGAAACATCAATGTGTGAGAGAGACATCACATCGACCGGTTGCCTCCCGCACAACTCTGACAGGGACTCGGTATAGAACCTGCAACCCAGGTATGTGCCCTTGACCAGGAATTGAACCTGCGACCACGGGCCAACACTGTAACTGCTTAGCCAGGCAACTTTACCATTAAAAAAATTAAATTTTTTTTAATTGATTTTAGAGAGAGAGAAACAGCGACGAGAGAGAACATCGATTGGCTGCATCCTGCACGACCCCCACTAGGGATTTGGCCCACAACCTGGGCATGTGCCCCCGACTGGGAACCAAACTGGTGACCTCTTGGTGCATGGATTAACACTCAACCACTGAGCCACACTGGCCGGACTAAAATATTTTTTTATTGACTTTAGAGAACGAGGAAAGGAGAGGGAGAGAGAGACAGAAAGAAAAATCAATGTAAGAGAGAAACATTGATTGTTTGCCTGCCGTACGCACACCAATTAGGGATTGAACCTGTAACCTGGATATGTGCCCTGACTGGGAATCAAACTGGCAACCCTTCAGTACATGGGGCGACACTAAACCAAATGAGCCACACCAGCCAGGGCCTACTTTGCCATTTTAATGGAATACCTATTATTAAAACATATGGTCAATATGGATATAGTAAAAAATTATACTATGGTAAAAATAATAAGGTACATATCAGAAATAAAATCCACTTGTGATTTTTCTAATTATTTTGTTGCAAGTAGGACTAGTGCTTATGAACTTCAACAGCTATCTAGTAAAGGGCAGAAATATTTATAATTTGGATGGTATTAAATAGAAAAGCCTCTGATACTTTTATTTTTGACTACCATCTACAGCTTGGTTTATATATACCGACCTTTCTGAATTCCATATGAGACACAGGTTAAACAAATGTGAGCATACTTATGGATCAATGCAACAGGATATTTGACAGTAGGGTAGTTCAGTGCTCAATCCAATTTTGTACTGCTTTCCTTTTGCATGTTTTAAAGCTAAGTTTTGCACACTGAATCCTTTGACTCTAAGAGAAAGAGGAACACACTACCAGGAAAAGATCTTTTTCCTGTTTTGTATCATGTAACATCAAACAGGTGCACACCTTATAGACTGTTATAGTATCTAGTGAAATATTACACGTAAACTCTTAAAATCCTGTCATTTACAATGCTAACACTTACATATGGCATATTCAAGGTTTTGCAGAAGTAGACTAACCTGTGACACAGTCCAATCATGTTATGCATTTGGAAAAATAGACCTTAAAATATTTTTACTAGTTCCAAAAATAATTTATTTCTGGGATAAATTATAGGGAGTTAGGAAAGACTGCTTTGATATGTATTAACTCTTGAGAGAATCGGACATCTGAGCGGATATATGTCAACTGATGGTTGGTGCCAATTCAACACCAACAGGAATCCCCAATTTGGGGCAGTGAAGAAGAAAACTTTATTCAGTGTAAAACAACTTAACTGTGATACAGCAAAGCTATGAGGCAGCCGACACTAGGCCCCTCTTCAGCTAGAGAGAGCTCTGCTCTGCTCCATGCCAGTATGCTTCGCTCTGCTGCTTTCTCTGTCAGTCTCCTCTGGCCTGCACTGGTATGCTGTGCTCTAGCTAGACATCTTGTGTTCTAGCTCCATCCAGGGAAACAGTTTTTGGTGGAAAGAGAAAGTGCTTTCAGAGTTAACAGGGAGCTGACTTATATAGATATGTCTATATATCTGCCCTGGTCCCTGATTGGCCCATCCTCATGCAAACGAGGATTATAAATCCTTGCAGTTTGATTGGTCCAAAAGGCACTGTTCTGATTGGTCAGATCAGAGATGCTCTGATTGGCTGGTGAAGAAGCTGATGGGGATATAAACTATGTAGGTCTGATTGAATGGGGAAAGCTTCAGTCCTATTGGTGTAAATAGGATTCCAAGAACTCCTCTATAAGGGCTGGTTCAGATGGCAAACACACAGTGCAGGCAGGCAGTTCAGTGCAGGCTTCTCCCTGAAGTGCAGTTTGCAGAGGAGTCCCCAAAGCAGAAACAGCTGCTAGGCTGTTTTTTAAAAATCTGAGCCCAGCCCTGGCCGGTTTGGCTCAGCGGTTAGAGCGTCGGCCTGCGGTCCTGAGAGACCCGGGTTCGGTTCCCGCTAAGGGCGCGAACCTCGGTTGCAGTTTGTCCCCGGCCCTGGTCGGTTGTGCGGGTGGCAGCCACTCGATGTGTTCCTTTCACGTCGATGTTTCTCTCTCTCTGTTCCTCTCTCTCCCTCCCACTCTACTTGAACAAAAAATGGAAAAATGTCCTCGGGTGAGGATAAAAAAAATAAAATAAAAATCTGAGCCCAGTTAAGCAACCAGAAGCCCTCCTCCTTTCTCAGGGTCCACACATACTTTGCATTATCAGAAAGACAACAACCTTTCCAAGAGAGGATTTTACTAAACAGTTATTGAAATATTGCTCTCTTATCATCATTATCTACACTGTATATCGCTTCTCTTGCTGTCTCTCCCTCTCTACTTCACTTCTATTGCTGAGTGCCAGTCCCTAATTTTTTTTTCTGCCCGTCTTCCATTAGGTCTCCTTTTTATCCCAAACATACTGGCTTAAAAGGTTAACTTTTTTCTAGATTTCTCTTTGACTTTTAGTTTCAGCTCTTCACTCAGGCCTGCTATATAACCAGTACTTATTTACACTGTTTTCCCTCTCTGATTAAAAGGAACTAAGTTACTGCCTCTGTGGCCACTGTGTGGTGAGGTTATTTTGGGCCATGAGGACTGGGGGCAGGGTTAGGCTGATTCCTTAGCTGAAATCAGTTTCATGTCTGAGGCTAATCTTGGTTTTCAAGTGTCATAAGCATTGCAATCTAATTCTCATTAGGAATAGAATTAATATGTGTACACAACATATCATCTAGTTGTTATTTACTTGAAACATCCTTGAAAAAACACATCAGTGATTTAGGAGGGACAGCATTTCTTTTTACTCCTGGTTCCACATTTAAAAAATGAGATTGTCTGCATTTTGAATAAAGCGAAAAGGTCAAAGATCACTTTTTCTCCTTTGTATCCCCTAAACAAATCAATTTTTAGTCTGTAAATTTCAGATACAATTATAGTCCTGAAATCATCATGATATAACTGAAACAATTCTTCCAGATTAAGGATAGAAAGGAGAGAAAAAACTGACTATCAGAAAGCAGAAATATTTACCTTAAATAACAGATAACTTTGGGAAGTTATCAGCTATGAGTTTTAAAACCATAGAACTTTGGATATAAGGAGTGTGTGCATGACTAACAGACATGGTTAACGAAAGCTATTATCAATCCAGAGTAGCAAATTAACCACTCACTGAGAAAACTAAGCAGTCTACCAGAGCCATTTAATTTAATGAAGTTACTCAATTCCCCCTTTCATAAAGCATCCAGGAATCAGATGGAGGATGGGCTAACACTATCTTTATCAAATCTTTGCAGAGGGTAGGCTGATAGCCAGGGAAGCTTTGAATGGTGAAAGGAATAGAGATCACAGAAGTGAATAACTGATTCTCATATCTAGATCTTGAATTAGGTTAGGTCTTGATCTGTGTCCAACCAGTGGACTGTGCAGTTAAGTTTTTGATTCTTCTATAGTTTTCTTCTTGCGTCCCTCTGGATTTCACATATTCTTAATTTGTTTTACAGATCACTGCTTTTTCTTTGGAATAAGACAATGTGGCTAAGGGAGACCAAAAGGGAATTAATAAATGTTAAAATAGCTTGCTTTTAAGGTTTTGGTGGATAACTTCACAGAATATAGTGTTTTCAAGGTAGGATTAAAATGAAACTTTCCGTTAGGATAATGTAGAGGATGGCATTCTTTCAAGAAAAAGTAAGAATCCTAAGCTTGCCTCTACCAGGCATCTTCCCTCAGGCACTGAGATTGCAGCCATCCAAAAAATAGGGACAGACAGAAAGAAGAGGCTTCAAAAGTCACAAATATACAACAGCTAATTTTTAGCAAGTCTGGCAATGAGATCTTTCCATTCTCCCCGCTTCTTTGTGATATATGTAGGAGTGAGTAGCTGCAATAGTGATTCTGGTTGTTGTCTAAAGAAGTTCTGGCACAAGGCCTCAGTGTTACATATCACGTACATCCCACAGTCATAGCTGTTTTGTTGAGCAGGGGCTTTCTCTTCCACAAAGGCCAGTTTGTCTCCTTTTCTGCCTAAGAAAGCCTGCAATTTCTCTGCTACCTGTTTTGCATGGACTGAGTTGCTTCTGCTATGGGAATCATAATGAAAAAAGCTATTTTTATCTTGGAGATAAACCAGCAAACTCCAATGGGTTCCCCCAGCTGCCTGGTTGGAATTATCATTGATGGCTAAAAATACAACTCTCTTGTGGGGGAGGTCCAGGGGTTCAAGGAACATTGAAATCTCTACTGGACTGCTAGTGCACTTGATGAACTGGGTAACTTCAGGACTGATGAAGCAGACTTGGTCAGAGCAGTCATGAAACTGCCTGTTGGCAAAGTACTCAAAGGCAAACCCAATAATACGGTCATTGAGCCAGCTTGGAGGATCCAATAGTGAGACATCTGATTGGCGCAGTAGACTGTCCATATAACTCAAGACTACAGGGTCCATCTTGTAGTGACCAGGGCTGCTCAGAAATTCCGGAAGCTGAAGAAGAGGTAGAAGACAATATATATTGTTGAATATGATACCTGGCTGTCAAACAGGGATCATAAATATTAGCTACTTGCACAAGGTTTTAGTAAAAATGAAATAAACTGTTTAACAACAATGCCTGCCTAAGAGTAAACATTCAGGAAACTGCAGGATAAGTGTTTTATGTTAACAATTAGGTAGAACAAAAACTTTAAAAATTTTCTATGCTGAAACAGTAAGCATGGATTTTGAATTTCCTTTTTTTATTTTATTTTATTTTTTTTATCCTTACCCAAGGACATTTCTCTATTTTTTGTTCAGAGTGGGAGGGAGAGGGAGGAAGAGAGAGAGGGAGAGAAACATCGATATGAAAGGGACACATCGAGTGGCTGCCTCCAGCAAGACCCAACCAGGCCGGGGAAACACTGCAACCGAGGTACGTGCTCTTAGTGGGAACCAAACCCGGGTCTCTCTGGACCGCAGGACGATGCTCTAACCGCTGAGCCAAACTGGCCAGGGCTGAATTTCCTTTTTAAATGTAGAGATTGGGCCCTGGCCAGTTTGGCTTAGTGGTTAGAGCGTCTGCCTGAGGATCCGAGAGTCCCAGGTTCGGTTCCCGCTAAGGGCATGTACCTCAGTTGCAGGTTGGGGTTGTGTGGGTGGCAACCACTTGGTGTGTTTCTCTCACATTGATGTTTCTCTCTCTCCTCCCTCTCCCTCCCACTCTATCTAAAGATAAATGCAAGAATGTCCTCGAGTGAGGATTAAGAAAAAATTAATACATGTAGAGATTGGTTAGAATTATAACTAATGTTTTACCAAACTCTATGGCATAAACCATATATTTGGCCCTTTAATGAATATGGATAACAATGGCAAATTATTTTTATATTAAAGAGGAATTCTGAAAGAATCTAAAAAATGTTCTAATTACCGAGGGAAAGAAACAGTTTCCATTTCCACATTAATTTTCAAGAGATAAGATAAAATATTACTTCCGCGTTCCATAATGGAAAGCGACAGTGATTAGAATTGTAGTTAAAAGAACTGTAATTTCAAGAATAGAAAATTATGAGTAATAGAAATGAAATTAATTTCTGATTCTGTCCAGCCAAGAGCATAAGCAACATAACTAGAGTAAGATACTGACTATATAATGCTTATAATGTAAGTTATGACTTCTTTTGGTGTTGATAGGTAGTGTGTCACAGGAATCAGGAAACCTGGGTCTAGCCCTAGTTTTACCACTGATTTGCTGGTATCATCTTGAGCAAGTCATTTGAATAACTTGTCCTTGTTTTTGTTATCCATAAAAAGGGCAAATATCTGCTTTATATACTTCATAGAGTTTGTAGAAAAGGCCAAATAATTTTATTTGAAGGTATTAAAAGAGCATAAAATGTTGTACAAATAATATGTCATTAATTGGATTTATTGGTAAGATGATGAGACACTCTAGATAGAGTTCCAAACCAATGAAAGCAAATGAAGTTTAGAAACAAATATCCATTCATACAGGGGTAGGCAAAAGTAGGTTTACAGTTGTTTACAGTAGGTTTATTATTTATTTGTATTATTTCCATATGAACAACTGTAAACCTACTTTTGCCCACCTCATATAATCTTGTCCAAACAAAAACATGACTTAGAGTAGGTGCCAGTCAAGTGGTATGATAAGATAATGTGCTGAGGTAGGGTGCTAACAAAGACCATAAGTCTTATAAGCGTGGTAAGGTAAAGCAATATTTGAGCCTAACAGAGAGTTTATTGCTGTGTATTGACTTGGCAGCATAACAACATTGCTAAAAATCATAAAGCAATAAACTGTCACATGCAGATTGAGTCTACAGAGCAAATCATATTGTAAGAAAATAATACTGCGTTGAAAGACTGGGCTAGAATTATGACATCAATTTAATCACTTTTGGCCATTAGTTGTTATTTGACCACTTGGTCACACTTTTATTTATTTTTTATTTTATTATTATTTTTGTAATCCTCACCTGAGGACATTTTTTTCTTTTCTTTCTTTTTTTTTTTTGTGCAGTTAGAGTGGGAGGGAGAGAGAGGCAGAGAGAGAGAGAAACATCGATGTGAAAGGGACACATCGAGTGGCTGCCACCAGCACGACCAACCAGGGCCGGGGACAAACTGCAACCGAGGTACGTGCCCTTAGTGGGAACCGAACCCGGGTCTCTCTGGACCGCAGGCCAACGCTCTAACTGCTGAGCCACACCGGCCAGGGCTATTTTATTTTTTAAGAGAGAGGGGAAAGGGGAGGGGGATAGAGAGAGATTGAGAGAGAGAAACATCAATCGGTTACCTTCCATATGTTCTCTGACCAACCCACAACCTAGGCATGTGCCATAACCAGGAATTGAACCTGCAATGTTTTATTTTTTTATTTTTTTGGTGCTTGGAACAGCCCTCCAAACAACTGAGTTACCTGGCCCGGGCCATTGGTTGATTCTGGTAAATGCCCTGACCGAGGATTGAACCCGAAACCTTGGTGTAGTGGGACGATGCTCTAACCAACTGAGCTACTTGACCAGGGCTGGTTACACTATTAAAACAATAAAATTTTGTGGCACAACCATTTTCATGTAATCAAAACCCTGTAAAAAAAAAACACAAGGATGCAAAAAAAGAGAAACATAAAGTAAATTAAGTAAATGAGGTAACTAAGAAGGACCAAGGAGAGTTTTATGTGGGTAAAGTATGTCATAATATGAACTATTTCAGAAACAATACAAGACTCTGTGTGTGTGTGTGTGTGTCTGTCTCTATCTATATATCTCTCTATCTATCAAATAACATGGCATAAACTAAGATTTTCTTAAGAAGGAAGAATAACTTGAACAGAGACATAAACTGGAGCCAGGAACAAAGTTAATGAGGCATAGAGCCCGTTTGTTATGAGTGGGCCACAAATTTGGCTCTAAGCTGTTTGGCAGCTAACCAGAGAGCATTAAGTTAAATATTCACAATCTCCATAAGGCTAAAACTAAGCAATTGCTCAGGTGAGGTACAAGCTTTCTTTGTATTAAGGTCAGTTTTCTCTTAAGAAATGTAATGTCCTCCAATATCTTTATAATAGATGAAATTGTTTCAGAGGATTGTTTCTTCTAATGATCCTTAATATCCAGTCTGATTGCAAAATGAGCAAACAGCAATTTACATGGACACTTGGTGCTCAGCTTGCTGCTGATTTAAGAGTATATTAATATGAAAAGAGAATGACTGCATATGCACCAAGGCTCCCTCAATCACTCCCCTATGACGTCAATAAACACTACATAGTGTTAAGTGCCAGGTTGTACTGCCTAGCAAATACATGGAGATCTGCTCTCTATATGGCCAGCTGAAATCAGATCTACATCTTTTTTTTTGGTGCAGATTGAAAAAAAAAGTTACTTTAAGAAAATAGTCATAGTTCCTAACTTTACTGAGCTTTAGCCTATTATGTTATAATGAATGCATAAAGAATATATATACCTCTTTTAGTCATAAACACCAACCAAGTACCTAATATTAGGTATTGTGGGAGATAACAAAAAGATGTATAAAGTGTCTCACACTCCATGAGAGAAGAAACCCATAAGGCACAAATAAAATATATGGGCATTAAGAACAGGAAATAATCATTCCTGGCAAAGAGGGCAAAAGGGAAGGAGAACTCAGGTCAGATCAGGAAAGATTTCGAGGAGAAAGTGGCGTAAAACTGGGCTCTTGAAAGGCAGGTGGAGTTAGATGCATGGCGAAGGGCATTTAAGGAGGCAGTGAGGCAACGGAAGTGCCTTTAATTGTGTAGTCCAGTCTGGCTGGAATGACCTGAGAGGAGGTGTGAAGGCGAGGGTTAAAGGAAGATTACTAGAAGCTAAGTGATGACACACTGAATTCCAGGTGAAAAAGTGTGGAATTTATACTCAAGGAAAAGGCAAGCCATTAATGACTAACTAGGTCAATGCTTTAGGAAGATTAACAATTCAGCCATAGCATATAGGATTAACTGTTTGGCAGAGAAACTGGAGGTAGAGGTTAGACTTTTATTAAAAGTAAAGGTAGGAGGACAGGACCTAAACCAGGAGAAACTGTAGTAGAAATAGAGAAGCGAGGAAGAAAAGATTGCAGACAGAGAATTAAGTGATCAGAGGAAGGTGCTTGAATAGGGGAGAAAGAATTAAGAAATGATCTGAGGGTTTTAGATGGGGTGACTAGGAGGAGGATGATCTCATTATTAATGTTGTAGGGAAAAGGAGATGGAAGGGGACCTAGCAAAAGAAACAAGAACCATCTAGAACCATCCTAGGGATATTTCCTTTCTATAAAGTAAGCATTATGCTTAGCGTATCTGAGATACAATAAATGTTTGCCAGAGGAATGAAACATTTAAAAAAGAAGCCAGAAAATACAGATTAAGGGGAAAAAACAGACATAAGGCCTCTTAATACTTTTGTATTGTCTTTAACACACCATATTTGTTTTGTTTTTGTGTTTTGTCTGTTCCACTCTGTTGATTAATAGTAAACTCCTTCAGAATTAAAGGCCTATGTAACTGGTTTTGGTGGATGGTAAGGAATATTGGGGAGTGAGGTGGGGAGACAATGACTTTCTCAGAATTCTATCTGTAAAATCCTACAAAATATATTATAGTTCTATGTTTTGGGGCAGGGAAACTTTGGCCCAGGCTATCTATGTGACCCCGGGCAAGTTATTCATCTTCTTTCTGGGCCCCATTCTCCTCATCTGTAAAATGAGGTAATAATAAAACCAGCTTCCCAGGGTTGTTACATGAATTAAAAAACAAGCAAAAACACTCTGCACAGTGTCTGGTATATAGCAGGCTCTGAAAAAAGTTAATTTCCTTCCCTGTTCCCTATATTTGGGGTGGTAATAATAGAACTTAAAGATTTCTTAAAAATAAAGCATTTGTTTGTTTACATAAAGCCACAAATTCATCAAGGATAGATCTAGCCAGGGCACAACTCCATGCTCTTGTTCTTTATCTTCGG